ATTTTGGCTGGAATTTGTGCATATCCTTTAGTTTTACACTGCAGAGCTGTAGAGCCTCAATACTCTCAGGATAGAAATGTGCTTCTACCATCCCATATATGTTAAATTTCAGACCTCTGGCTAGTGAATGAAATACAGTTGGTGCCACACTGAGGTGACACTCCTAGTTCACATCTCATGAGCTCTGCCAAAGAGCTGATCCATGCTGGGGGACACCACCTGCAGTTTCAGGGGTGCTGGACACTGGCAGTGGGTTGTGGTGGCATGGTGCAGATGGATGTGGCTACAAGGGCTTCAGAAATGGCCATGAACTGCCTCTGGAAGGTGTTTTCCACAAGTGGCCATTGTGTTTGAAGGTATATTCCAGACGTGGCCACTCCCTCCTGGATGGGCAACAGCTGCACAGCCAGGCCATTCACAGGGGTTTATGTGGGGCTCTGCAGCCTCTGCACTTACACCCATGCTCCTGCCTCTCCATATAAGAATCTTGATTAATTTGATCCTGTCAATATACTTATGTATTCCATTTCCACCCCATCTCTGTGTCTAGCTGAAAGCAGCAGTAATTTAAGTGTGCTTGATATTACAAGAACATTTGCAGGATAATGTTCACATCACTACTGTTGATCCTTTGGTGCTGGTTTTTCACTGTATACTTCCACTCCGTACTTGGCGGAGGAGGCATATTCATGCAAGTGGGATTGAGAGAGCCCTTCTAGTTTAAATATGTAGAGACTGGGGGAGAAAAATCCTCCAAGGGAACTGGTCATATCTTCCATTTGGATTCCGTTATGAGTGGATTTCTTAACGCACAAAGTTTTGTTTGTTTGTTTGGGTTTTTTTTGGCTACAAGAGGAAGTGTGATGAGTAGATCCTAATCAGATACAATACGAGAAACCTCAATTAGATGCATTTTCCACATAATAAAACCAATAAAAAACCCCACTTAAAGACGCCAGCACCATTATCATGAACAATGAGTCAATTTCTCCTGCAGTATTTTAAGTGTGTAGCTGTAACTTCAGAATAATTTTCTTCACCAACAAGCATATATCCAGGGCTGTTTGGGATTACTTTGATTATCAAACTGTAAGATCAATTCTAAATGTAGGCACTGAAGCCTGAATAATTTATTTTCTAGCCCATTAGAACAATTTGGAGGATCTGATTCTATAGGCAGCTTTTTTGACAAGAGAGCAAGTGCACGCCTCTGTGTACCTCTTGGGGAAGAAGAGACGGATAATGTCTACTTTTAGAGTAAGACACCTGCTGTACTGCTTGACTCTGCTCTATAAATTTGTGAGAAATTTGTCTTGAGTAGAATATTCTGCTACTTCCACAGCGAATTGCAAAGCCCAGGGTTTGCAAAGAACCTACTGCTTCTGTCTTTTCCCCACAGTTTTGCAGCTCAGGCACAGATGCACCAAGCAGCCCTTTCAAGATTTACACTGGGGTCTTTCCAGGAGCAAACACCTGACTCCAATATCCTATATTTTAGGGCTGGAACAGTATTTCTTCTGGTGTTTCACTGTTTTCATCTTAGAATAAAAAACTTTGCAAAAAATACGCAGCATTTATTGGGAAAAAAGTTAGAACTGCATTTAGTTTCAGATTTTGCCATGAGCTGCCTTGCTTGCAAGAAAGTGGATTATCATAAAAAATGAGGGAAATAATGTGTTAAACATTTCACAAGGGAATTTTAAAAAATGCTATTGTCAGTAGCCTGGCATCTTTGAAAGGAACCTTTTCTTTTTTTTAATTTAAAGTCAACTCTGCACTCACCAAATGGATTTAATACAGACTCTCATTTGGCTGCCAGCAGATCAGGTTCAAGCTGTAGACTTCTCTCTAATGTTTTTGTTTTAATGGTTTCTCTTTTAACCATGACAGTATCACTTTTGTACAGAAGCCCCCAAATTGTCAAAACTAGCCCTGTTAATGGGTTTGGTTTTTGTTTAATTTCACATATCAGCAAGCCCAGAAAACTGTCAAAACTTTTAATTTCCTCACTACGCTTCTGACACTCTTTGACCCAAAAAAAGGTCTGGGTGTTGGGGATGGGGGTAAGGAGAGAAAAAGTGGAGGAGAGGGAACATCGTAAATAACCGTTTAAAATGATCTATGCCTTAGATACCAAGAGTAGGAAGTAAAAACAGACATGCAGCATAGAGCCAGCTACAACTGTTTTCTCTTGGCTCTGATCCAGAATAAGTAAATGTGATGCCTCTAATGCCAGGGTCTCTGACTGGAATTACATTGTAGTTCAGTTCAGAATGGAGGGCAGAGGGGATGAGGAGCAAGCTTTTTGAATGTTCTGGAATAGAAAATATTCGGCTATTGTTGGAAAGGCTCCTGTGGCTGTCTTGGTGGGTGTTGGCTCTTCAAACATTCCCTTAACCAGCTGCTTGAGTGTTAAAAGACCACTGGATGGAGACTTGCAGGTGCTTTGCTACTTAGGGAAAAAGCGGGGCTTTAAGGAGCAGTTAAGTCTAGAGCTAAGGACAGCCTCTATTTCCTGCGTGTGCCTGGTGTGACAGCTTAGTAAATTTATTTGGGGACTCTGAATAAATATTCTGGTGTGGGAAAAGGAGCAGAGCTGAACAAAGGTGGAGCAGTCTTCAGTAATGTGTGCTGACATTATGAAATCCAGTTTGAGCCGGGTGGTTTAATGTTCAAAGGATTCCTTTGTGCATTTCAAGTTTGGTCAGTCAACCTAAGGAAGAGCTGTGCATTATCTCTTCAAAAATAGGAATGTAATGAGCTGCTGGAGAACAGAGTATTTCTGAATCAAGGGCAGTGTAGTGAGATACTCCTGCTGAACAGCTGACCTGAAATATTCATCCCTGATATAAATGGCTACAGCCCCAGTCATGGCATTTTGCGTGAACTATGTCCTGGTTTTCTGATGTTTTGTGCCACTGGTGAATTTCCAGTTTTTGCAAACAAGAATGACTTTAGAGTCAGAAGATGCTGAATGCAAACATCCAGGCAACAATGTCTCAAGCATTAAGCATCAATAAGAATTTAGTGGATGATGGAGGAGCAGGCAAGCAGGTCTTGCCTTTACAGCATCCTCAGTGAGACCCACCTCCTGCAATACAAGTGATGGTTTTAGGTACTGGTACCACTTAAAGCAGTGTAGCAGCAGGGGGAGCATGAAAGGTGATGAAATAAGCTGCCTCTTATTGGTGCTGTTGCTTCAGAACAAAGAACTGAAGATAAGAGCTAAATGTATTGCAAGGTCATGGCTCTGCTGCTCATGGGCATCTGCCTTCATTAGGCTTAATTGGGCTGTTTGAGCAATTAAACAATTGCCGTGCCTGCAGCTCTGAGGCTGATCTTGAGGCGAACATCCACCAAGCTGAAGAGGCAGAAGTGCACTTCTGCTTTCCATCCCATTCCTCAGCCAGTTTAGTGCTATTCCTGACTGTATTTCAGCACTCTGACCAGTTTGGTTTTAGCTTAGGTATTTATACATCTCCTTTGGTGCTGTTCTGTTCAGTAGAACTTCACAGTTTTATTTTCTCTTTAGGGACTTTGTTTCTATGTGATTCCATTTTTTTTTAACTTGATGGTGGCTTTCCTTTATATCTTGATGATAGGCCATGATGATAGCTTTTCTTTATATCCCCTCCCTTAGCCTAAATGATTTTCTGTGGGTTACCTTCTCCTGGTATTCTTCCCCCTCCTCTCCCTTGGTTATTATTCTTTAATAATTTTAGACAGTGTTAACAATCATGCTCTGTAAGTGGGAGTAGAGATGAGGTATTTCCAATGTTGCAGGTCAGGACATGGATTGGCCCTCCATGGCAGTTGTAAGAGAGTACTTGTGAAAGGTTGAATACAGTGATGTGGGGATGCCTGCAATATGCAAAGACTCCTAAATGAGGGGATTTGAGTCCCTGTGTCTTGGAGTTTGCTTTCTCTCAGTGGAGACGCACAGGTTAGTGCAGCTCAGGTACTCTGACGTGAGGTATAGTTTGGTTCCTTAGCTCTGAACAAAACAGATTGGTTTGCAGCTGGGGTGAGGAGTGCTGCCTTAAAACACAGCTGCCTTTATTGCCTGTTATTTGGGGAGGAATTCAGTGGTATTAAGAGACAACCTTAGTAATTAGTATAAGAAATTGCTTTGGCTTTTGTGTTTCTCCTCTGTGTTTCATTTCTGAGGTTTAGCTCTGCCCCAGGATTAGCTCTATCTTTTTCCTTCCCTGGTTCATGAGCTGCCTTATGTTCATCCACTTTATGCAGGTATTTAGTGGATATGCTCCTGCATATGTCTGGCTTACTACTCTATGAACACAATTTCATTCCAAGCCTTTAATTGATTTGGATAATAAAGTGCAATTATAAACTCAATAAAAATTGGCTATTTTAAAGGGAGAGCAGGAAAGAAAGAAACCTAAGTGATGCTGTGCTGTGTGACTCAATAATGATGCAAAATCCTCTTTGCCTTACATTCTAAATGCTCTCTTGCTTCCAGGAGAGACTTGACCTTAGACAGGAACTAAGAAGTATGAGGTGTCCTGCCAGGGGTATGTTCTGGCAAGGTTTGCTTATGGCATGTGTCAGGGGTGAGAGACAGTGTATTGGGATGGGAAGAATGGGGAATCGAAAATGCTTCAGCCATTCTGGGCAGTTCTCTAAAGTACCTAAATAGGACTGGGATTTTTTCAATCCCTTCAAGAGCTGACCCTTTGGGAATTTATCCTTTACTTAGCGTCTGCTTTTTAACTAGAGAGCAAAATACCTGGTTTGGAGGTTGTGTCTTGGATTTAGGAAAACTGTGACTTTTTGAGTGTTGCATCTTACTGATGACTTCTCTGTATTTGTTTTTTTTTTTTCTTTCTCCTTTGTTTTTCCTACTGAAAATGTCATAAGGAGAAATAATTTCTTACGAGGTACAGCTGCTGGTTTGCTCCACTGCCATATTGAGATGGTTTCCTATCTGGGGGTGCTTGGCTACAGTAACTGAGTTTCTTTGTTTCTCTTTGTTTTCCCAGTTGGGAGGCTGTGGAATCCTTGGTGTAGGCATCTGGCTGGCTGTTACCCAAGGGAACTTTGCCACCCTCTCCTCTTCTTTCCCGTCCCTGTCAGCTGCCAACCTGCTGATCGTCACAGGGACGTTTGTCATGATCATTGGCTTCGTGGGCTGCATAGGTGCCATCAAAGAAAACAAGTGCCTCCTGCTGAGTGTGAGTATTGAGCTGCTGCAGTGTTTGCTGTCTTGTGATGCTGGTGCTATTGCAATGCATGCTGCAGTGACCTGCATCTCAACAGAAGCTGTCCACTTGACACAGATGAGACATGAGTGGTGTGTGAAACAGGCTTTGATACTCGCTCCAAGGAGCTGCAGGTCATTCCTGACCACACTGTCCATGGAGGATGAGACCTGCAGGGGGTAATTGTTAGTGGTGGTGGAGGTTTCCTTGAGCTCTTCAGAGAAGAGGAAGAGTTTTGCGAAGACATCTTTTGTAGTGTATCTTTAAATTCTTTTTCACTCAGGTTTGATAGCAATCCACTCCAAATGTTTGCCCTAGTGGCACTGATTATCTGAAGTCCTGGGCAGAAACATCAATGCAGGCAGGAAACAGGTTGATTCTGGTTTAAATTGAAAATTAAGACCGTCAGGTTTGACAATGCTGGTTTTTCCAGCCATTAACTCTCTAAAAGCTGAGATTTCAGGAAGCAAAGATGCCAGCACAAGGAGACTGCTGTGAAATCAAAGATTAATAAGGTGCCAGCTGTCCATGATTTCACAGAAGCTTGAGCCACATCTCTGGTGTATTTTATCAAAATGCAATTTGATGCCACTCAAAGGTGAAATTCAGGAGCAGCGAATACCTTCTGTAGTTGGTGTTAGTGTGTATTTTGCATCCTGTTCTGCTGAGGACCAGGAAGTGAGGTGATCTTGCTGCTCAAGTCTAGGACTTCACCATGGAGTTTGGGAAACCTCCGGGTGAAGAGGAGCTATGGTTCAGCTGGTCATCTGGTGATGCCTCTGTAAAAGGCTGTTCCTTACCGTGCTTCACATATTATTTTTTTTCCCTGGGAGCTACAGAATTAATTAAGGCACACAAGCCCCCAAATGTCTTAAGTGACTGAGATTCCATGCCTCAATAGTGGACTTTTTCCAGGCCCTTGCCTTAATCAGTTATTTCTGCTGATTTTTAGGCAGTCAGAACTACTCAGTCTAGGCTAGTAAAGGCTATGTATGTGGCTTGAAACTAAAAGGAACAATATAAATGGAAATTAAGGCAGTTATGTGAGTGAAAATCTAAACTGGGAAGGCTGAAGTCAGTATCTGAAGCTGAAAGTCCTTGACATTTTTAACAGTCCTATAAATACACACTTTGTGGAGGAAGTGTGTGCCCAGGCAGATGTAATGGATTACAGCTTCAATGCCAATACAGCAGGAGCCCACAGGGTGCAAAGTCTAATGGTATAGCTTATATGTGCAAAATTAATCACCTACTTTGTGCTTTCCTGAAGGCCTAGCCCGGATGTGACAGCAGTGAGCAGTGTCTGCTTGTGTGTCCAGATCAGGTCAGGATCTGGCAGGCAGTCCTCAGTACTGGAAGAGTTTAAGGCTTTTACCTCTTGTGGTTCTTTGTCCTTCACCTGTCCTTTTGGCAAGGACAGCAACTCCCTTGATCAGCCATCATTGCCCAGGTAGGGTGGATGCACTCAGCCCCCCCAGCTGGGCATCCATGGGAGATGGAAACGCTTGCGGGTACTGCTCCTGCTGGCATACTGCACAGCACTCAGAACCCGGTGTCCCTCAGTGCCTGACGTAAAGGCTGTACTTGATGGATCAAGTTAAGTAATGCAAAGGAATCCAAATTCATTTAGGAGCTCTCTGCACAGGAGAATGGGGAAGCTTGATCTGATTTGGTACCCACATTTCACTTTGTCTGCCCGTCCTTACCTTTCTGTACTGTAGCTATTCAGTGTGGCCTCTATTTTACTCAATTTTCTTCAAAATTGAGTTATGTTAGAGCTGATTATAGCTACTTTAATTCTGAATAAGCTCAACGGTAGAGGGTTGAAATACAATTTCATTAGTCCACATTGAATTCAGTTTTCATTTGGTCTAGAGTAACTTTCCACATTGCATTGCCTTGGTACTTTCTCACTGTCAGTAAACACCAGGGAGATTTTTGAGCTCTTCTGAGCTGATTTTTGTTGTGCCTATGTCTCTGGAAGAGAAATGGATGGTGGTAGAAGCTCCTGTTTCTAGGAGCAAAGCCGTGTCATGCAGGTTTGTCCTTACTCTTCCTTTCCCCATATTGCTGATTCTATTTCACCTGTGTTTGAAAGTGCTTTCAAGTTTAGAGCTGGGGCATTTGGTTTTGTCCTCCTATTTTTCTGTCTAACACAGATAACAAAACAAATTCATTCAAGAAATTGCTAAATATCAAGCCAGGGCTGCTCTTAAGGTGTGTGGTTGCTACATTCCTTCGTCTTTTTCTTATTCCACAGATGTTCCCGACACAGTGTTCCGCCACAATGAAAATTATGTCTTCCCAGAATATCTCTGGGTTTTTTAAACAGCCCTGAAAATGCCCTGTCTGCTTTTTTAAGAGGATTGTTTTGTTGCAGCGGGCTGGCAATAGGATTTACCATCTAAATTGTAAAGGGAAAGCTCCTAAGTGTTCCCAGCTTTGTGTGTCTGTGACACACACAGTGTTTAACAATTGCTCCTGGATCAAGTCCTTACACTCCTTTCAACATCTCCCTGGCTGCCACTTAACATCTGGCCTTGCTCCTAGTAGTAGCTAAGGTTGCTTTTGGAACTGAATTTATATCTCCAGAAGGCATTGCCACAAGTGTGACAGCCACTCATGGAGTAAGTTGTCTAGCTCGTGTGTGATGCTGCTGCCATATTTTCCTGTGAAGCATTTGCTTTAGCTAATTCCTTGTAATGTTTTATTCCATTTGGAAACAGGAGCTTTGAAAGTAGAAATGGAGCAACTGAAGTCTGTTTGCACAGGTGTTTAAGAGGGGAAGATGAAGGCTGTTTGGTTATGTTGCACTAGTCCCTAGATAATGCATTTGAGTAATTTGACCTCACCTCCTGATATGTGTGGAGCCCCAGCACTAGAATTCCAGAATGGCTTGAGCTGGAAAGGACCTTAAACATCATCTAATTCCAACTCCCCTGACATAAGCAGGGACACCTTTCACTAGACCAGGTTTACTCAGAGCATTGAACAAACTTAGGGAACTGGGATAGACAGGAGTTAACAAGGTTTGCAGGCAGTTGTAACAGATTTGTGGTGGGCTTAAAAGCATGGAAAAGTTATTAGTGGAAATGCAAAGAAAAGGAAAGCAAGAAGTAGAAGCTAGAATGTTGCATACATTGTGTGTTTCAGCAGTCTCTGTACAATAGTCTGATGAAGTGAGGCTTGGAGTGAACAAAAAAAAAAAGAGAAAGTGGAATAAACCAAGCTGGGGGAATACCTAGGGATGTTATCACAGTGGGTTGGCAGATACTTACGTTATATCCTGCATATGTGAGATCAGACATCACTCCATTGAGCAAAGCATTGCTGTGTATCTCTGAGTGAGTAGCAGTTTTCACTGACCTCCCCTTTTCCTTGGCTCCACACAGCCTGGCAGAAAGCCTGGGATGTTAAGTATGACTGCAGACAGTAGTAAAGATGATGGGAATGCTCTGCCTGTACTGTGTTCCTGTTGCAACCCACTCTGAAATCACATCCTTAAGATCTCCTTGAAGACACCTGGGGCATTTTAAACCCACAAACTACATGGTCATCCCTGGTTTAACCAAGAGCAGTTTGGGCCTCAGCTTGCTCATATCTCCCATAGTGCATCTCATCCTCATGTAGGGTTGTTGGGAGTCTGATTTGCAAGGACTGCAAAGACAAATTTCCCATACAGCAGGAGCACTTCTTGCTCTGCTTCCTGAAAGCAGAAGAAGGAGGAAAGCCTGTGGTAGTTACTAGCTGAGGGCACGTGCTGCTGTTACTGGGGTGGGCAGTTTGGAGGAAGACATTTGAGATAGTGCAGGAGGCATGGAGCACTCTGGGGATCCTAAAATGAATTGGGGGAAGCTCAGCCCACCTGCATTGGAGGAGCAGAAGTTTATGTGCTGGTAGACACAGGATATTTGTGGAAAGAGTTGCCTTAGGAGTAGTGCTACTGTGTGATGATGTGACAAGGGATGAGATTTCCCACAGAGTTTGATTGAGTGAATGAAAAGTGAGCAGTATCATAGAGACATTTTAGCCTATTTACATTTCATACACTAAGATGCAAAGCAGATGAGACTCTGATCATGTATCTTTATGTTCTGCACATATGACATTTGTATTGGTTTGTCAGAGCACACCTGTAAGCTCGTTGGTATTAGGCTGCTGTGGTGTTAGGTGTGAATGTTGGTAATTACTTACCTCTGGCATTTGCCAATGACTTTGGAAAGAAGGGAGAGCAGACCAAGTGGTTTGAGAAGTAGAAGACAAGTGGGAAAAGAAGATCAAAAGCAGAAGTAAATTTCAGTTTGTAAATGAGATTTTAGCACAGCTGTGTGCAGTATTCTGGAGGATCCACATTAAGTCTCTGAATTGAGATTTTAGATAGTCTAAAGCTTCAAGATTTACTGACTTGAAAGGAATTACCTGGTGTCCACTGCAGATATTCTTTACTCAGTAGCAATGTATAGTCAGGAAAATGTGAAGTCAGTGCTTCCTTAGTCTCTTTTAAGAAACAGGCCTATTGCTATTTCTCTGCATTCAAAGGAATAGAATAATCTAAGAGTGTAAAGAAAAAAAAAATAAAAGGAAACATCAACCATTCTATGCATTCTGCAAAAATACATAGGCTGAATTTTACAGCAGTCATTCTAAGATGTCAGTGAGCAAAAAATGGGTATTTGCACTGATTCTTATTTGCTCCAGCAAATAAAAAAAAAAAAAAAAGCTAATACTTTTCCAGTATTAGATTTCCCTAGGGAAATCAAAGCAACAGGCATTCTTGAGATAAGTATGCAACCTGGTATATATAATCTTACATCTGAATATAGATGCAAATTGTTGAATGAAGTAGACAAACATAGCTTTCCTGCTTCAGTAAGGCTTGTTTAACATTTCTGCAAGTATTGTTGCTCAAGACTGTATGACTGAGGTCCCTCTGCTACAAACTCAGCTGTAGTTAGAAAATGGCAGCTTTGCTC